TTGACACAATATTTCTAAGATATTATAACATATATATCTCCTATTTACATAGGAATTAGAGGCCATCCCCACCCTAACCCAACTCATCCACATACAAAGAATATATGTACGATATAATACACACAGGTCATACATTAGTATATACATGGACAAGATGATGCACGCAAAATAGATAGATAGCAAAAGGCAACTTCATTAGGAGAATTGAAGTGAGGAATAGTTTGATAAATCATGTGGGAAGAAAAGGTGGAAACAATCAAAATGTTACCATACAAGCAAATGCTCTCTTTGGTCCTCTTTTTAGATCAACAAATTCACAATTAGCAAAAAAATAATCTTATCTAAGTGAAGATAGACATATATTTTAACCTTTTTGCCCCAAGCCCATCATGACAAATAAATGTACCTCTATATAAGCGGCAATTGCAGCTCTATCAGAACCACTTGGATCCTTCAAATTCGTAATGGCCTCTATTATTAGATTATCCAACCTACAACAAAGGAAAGCAGACCGAAAAGAACAAAATCATAAATGAGTTGACGGAAGGGAATGAAAGCTAGTAATCAAGGCATTCGAAAGGCCCATAAAAGTTAGGTTCTCCCAGCTCCCACACGAAAATCAGATGATAGATGATGCTGGACGGACACGTCTACCACATGGCAACAAATATGGAAGACTAGTATAAAAATTATATTCGAACTTCATGAATAAGGACATTCATGATGGGAAAAAAACAATTTTATATCTGATTGATCAAGAAGAGACTCACTGTAAAATTGATATGATATTAATGTTTCCGTTACAATCATACTGAAACTACACGTGAATCAAAATTGTCCAATAACTCTCAAGGATCAGCATCGTATGGTTGACCGTAATTCAGGAAACAAGATAATCTTGAAACAGCTCCAACCTCTGTATATTGATTCATATGAAGTACTTATGCACATTATCCAATCTATACATCAACTTTTCATGTTATTTAGCATGCATTGTTTTTCATGTCCATGTCTACTCAGGAAAATGAGAAAATTCAAGTACTACAAATTGCCACTAGCTTCAAAGATAACAGACAGAAACAGCATTAATATTGTCAGAATGCCCACAACCTTTTGATTCGCTCTTTTGGATTTGCATTGTTAATTGTTTCACTGGCAAGAGGGGTGGCATCAAGGATCTCTTCATCATTCCTTACAGTGGCCAAAGCCAAGGGGTTGCTATCATGCTTAGGGGTCAGCTGATTCTTTTTAAGAGCAAGCCTAGCCTTCTGCCTCGATCCCCATATTGCAGTCACATTGATATTTCTCCATTTATCCTGCTCGGACATGTCACAAATCATTAGAGAAAAGTGCTTGGTTACACTAAACTAAGAAAAGTTTCCACTTTCATATAGCTAAGTGCTATGGGGGCATCGTAAAATTCTCGGTCATCTGAACCGAAATCATCACGACACTAATTAATACTAATAACTGCAGCTAGTCCAAGTAGATACCTTAAGGTCCACATTCGATCGCATCTGCAAGATGGCACTGAACTCCGTGTCGGTGAGTATAGTACGCCATTTTCCCGCACCGTGCTTGATCACTCCAGCTTTAAGGGCTGCTTCTTCCTCTGCTGTCCACTTCTGTTTAGGAGCACCCATGAACTGAAGCCCAGAACAAATTTTTTAGCGAAAATCCGGAGGCTAACATATAAAAGATCAAATTTTTAGTTAATCCTATCTCCAGCACCACGTCAGATATCAACACATATAATAAGTCTTAAGCATCGATCAAGCATTCAACAACGAAAATCAGAAAACACAGAATCAATCATCGGCTCTGAATTTAAAAACAACGGCCACGGAGAGAAACTCCGCGATCGAACAAAAGAACAGCATTCTCTGTTTAAGCATCCGGCAACCGATGGCCAGGATACAGCATGCCGCTCCACGTTTAGGCACCGAATTGCCGAAAATCTAACGAAGCTGAAATCGCACGAAAACCAAACTCTCACTGAAGGCGATTCCGGACAATCGCGCGCGAATTCGTCCGGATTCAGCTCAAATCCCGGAGCTTCCGCTCCCGAACGAGGCAAATTCCGTCAATCCGCGAGCGAAGCACTGACGAAGAAACGACGAAACGGAGATCGGAAAAAGAAGGTAGGAGCGAGCGAGGAGACGCGGCGGCGTCGCGGATGACCATCGGCGCCGCGCCAATTCCCGACGCGCCAAGCCGGATGAAAACAGGCGGGAGGAAAAGCGCCGGGAATTGAGCAAATCGGAGAGGCCGCGAAGACGCGAGTGCGAGCGGCTCGCCGCCGCCGCACCGCAATGGCGATTCGAACCGCCGCGCCGTCGCGGCCGGAGGAGGAGGAGGAGGAGGAGGAGGAGGGAGGGAGGCGGCGGCGATTACCTCCGGCGCCGGCGATCAGCGAGGTCCGCGAGGGAGGAAGGAGGAAGGAGGAGGACGAGGAGGAGTGAAAATGAAATAGGCGTTGCATTTACGGGCAAACTCTCTTTTTTTTTAAGTTCCTTAAAAATATTAAAGAAGAAAAAGGAAAATAAAAATTGTGCGCGTAAATGGAAACATAGACTCCGCGGAAATTTTTTTTTTTTTAAAAATTAAGTTACTTTAAATTAAATTGAAAAGGAATTTTAAACTGTGGAAATTGGTAGAGCACTAGTATATAATAGTACATTTGTTTAGTGTGCATGCACAAACAAAATACGAAATTGGTTTTCAGGAATTTCATTATTGATAGTACCTTCTTCACCCTGAGCGGTTTCGCTTGTTTCGCGAAAAAATGAATGGTTGTCTAAAAAACGATCGCGTGTATTATTTAAAATAGTTAATCAATAAAAAATGTTTCATTATCGATAATAATTTATGTCTGAACATTTTCGTGGACGACGGATATTTTTCGTTAATTCATTTTTGTAAACTATAAAAGCAATTATTATTAGGAAAATATTTTTCAAATCATTCATTTTCCGCGAAACAAACATATCCTTATTATTGATTTTTTTGGTTCTAGAGGTCTGTTTGTGAACTTTTTTTTAATCTTTCTTCCCTTTTTTTTTCTTTTCTTATAATTTGATTTTTATTTGATACCGAATATCGCAAATATTTTAAAGTATATAAATTTTTGAATGTAGGATCACCCGGACTGTTCTTGGTTAAAAATGTATTTATCTTGAGAATTTTAACGAGAAAGTAAAATTTAACTCAATGTGATCACAACAAACGGATCCTTAATTATTTTTTTAAAGTTTTACCTTTGGTTTTGTTATATTGTTGATATTATTTTCCTTTTGTAGTATATATGGAATGTTTAGATTATGAATACTTTGTAGTGAAGAAGGTCGATAGAGAATAGATGTAGGACCATAATGACAAGTCAACCTATGGTGGTTTTCACATTAACATTTCCCAAGTTTGGTAATACAAGAAAATTGGAATCTCAATCGAAATATATAAATCGCTTTGGTAGGTAAAAAGAAAATATGGACGCGAAACATCGCTGGTAAAAAAAAATTCGAACGGCTTTTTTATGGACATATAATTTGGAAAAAGATATGGTTTTTTTAGTTACAATAAAGATAACAATATACATACATACATATATATATATATATATATATATATATATAGATATATATATATATATAAGTGGCTAAGTTGCATGCTTAAACAAAAATCTTAAAATTTTTTTGCTAACCCCAAATATTAGTATGAAATATTATATTACATGAAAATAACATGATTAAGTTATTAAATGTCTGGGATTTTTTTTTTATTTCAGTATACTATACTATAAAACAAAACGTGTGTTAGGTAACCTCAGAGGAAGTCTGGATTTTTCCCTCGTCAAGGTCATTAAAAACGATTAATTTGATACTATATGGAAAAGAATATAATAATATGAGGGTCCACATATACTATAGTGGCAAGCTCGAGCTCGACTCTGCTCACATATTCGATGCTTGAAGCTCGAATTGAGCTCGGCCAAGTATTGAATTTTCCGCTCGAGCTTGACTCGACTCGAAAAAATTTAAGTCACAAAATGAATTTGAGCTCAAACTTAATATGCTCGAATTCTTTCCTGTAAATCTATGAACCACGTGATTTCAAGGATTTTGTCATTTGAATTATGAAATAGTTTCATAGCATGAACAACGGTTAAGCAAGTTCGCGAGTCTGTCAACCTCGAGCTCGACTTGGTAAGATAATCAAATAGTTCGAGCTCGAGCTTGGCTCCAAATCAGACCAGTTGAGATCGAGTATCAAAGAAGGTCCCGGATGGTGAATATTTTCTTGATTTAACCTAAATTGAGGAAAGCTAATGCCACGGTTGATGCAATTTTTTTTAGTAAAAGCACAATTGAAGGCAACATTAGAGAGTGTGACATGACGCTGTAACTCCATCATCTATCAGGGAGAGTACACGCCTTGAGGTAGGGTAAATTGCAGTTTGGCCTCTATACTTTCATGATTTTCTCGATCAACCCCCATAGTTTCAATTATGCCCCTCAATTAGACCCGTTTCCGGCTCGACACGACGAACTTTGCTTGCGACTTCTGAACACCGTCAAATAAGGGCGCCGAGTTTCTATCTTGGCCGTTCCTAGTGCTTGAATTTGCTCGACTGATGGGCATGAGTATCAAATTCTGTCGTGCCAAACTGAAATTTCGGGCCAATCTGAGACAAAACTCAAACTATGACGATTGACTGAAACAAGTCGACTTATGAGGGGTTCTCTCAACCCTGAAATACAGGGGGCAAAATGCAATTTCCCCTTTAAAGTAAGCAGCAATCTCACATGTTTGCAGGTTCAGGCATTGATAAGCTGACAAAAAAATGGATGGAAAGGCAATACAGGAAACATATATATGCATCCAGAGATGTCAAGTTTGCATATTCTCCTACTTAGAACATTGAAGCATCATCACTCAACAGCAAAGTGCTGAAACTGCATATAGTTTTTCTCTGTTCTTTCTTCTTCAAAGAAAATTTCCAATGGGTGGAACTGCATATGTATATGCTCCTCCGAAGTGATGATACCACAGTTAAATTGAGCAAGAATTGCAAGAAAGTTGCGAAAGTGTCAGTGTTACACATCATCTTCTCCCTCGAAAGCTAACAAGAAAGCTGCTCCTCTTCACTAGTCACCTATGACAAAAACTCCGCTAGAGTAAAGAAGTTAAGCTGCGTGTTTTCCCTACCAACAAAAAATCTAATGCACAATCTCCTAAACTGCAATGTTACAATTACATACCATTCGCGAAAGGAAAGACCCGATTCGCTATGAGGACTTCGATACCACTTTGCTGCCTCAAATGAAAAAGACTCTGTCAGATGATTAAGTTACTGTGTAAGCGACCCGCTTGCACTGCTTTTTCCCGAAAAGGCTATTTGAGTAGTATATCCGAATTAATTTTGGATCTCCCATCTGCTGAAACGTCACGTCTTGCATCTCAAGATGACCTAAGATGCGGCTTAAATCCATGGTAGCCGGTTGCGAAGTCTAGTGGCCCAGCTAATGCTCGCATTATCATTGATTGGAGCCAAAGTGATTCTTTCAGCATTAGCGACCGCCCATTTGCTGAAGTCAGGAGAAGATACGAGTTCTTCCAGGGATATTTTGGTGTGCTCTTTGGTAATCTTTTTCCACTCATCGTCCGAGTATCTTTTCCTATCAGGCGTGGCATGGAAGGTAGAGTAGTACGTCTCTGGACCTGACGGCCGAGAAGGTGGCGTCCTGCTCCCTGAGGAATTGCAGTTTGTGTAGAAGATGACATAAGGAGGACCAACTTAGCAATATAGAGATTATATCAAATAAAATGAAGCAAACCTTGCAAGGGAGAATTATACAATGCAGGCGAGGACATTTTGGTCCTGCCTCTCTCATCATACGAATCTTGCAAGACATGTGATCCCATGTTTTGTGGTGTTCTATTGTACTCCTTAGGGGATGAAAGCAGTTTCCTGGAAAAGTTCAAGGAGCTCAGGGACAAGTACTAGTGAAATGGCACTCGATGTCTCAGGCACAAGCATTGGGCTGAATTGATGGAGAGCACAACATACAAAATTTAGACCTTTTTCTAAAAGCACCAACTGATAAGCCCTATGAATATAAACAAAAGAGTTGGTCATATTAATGAAGCGATTAAATTTGACTGCTGACAACAAAACTAGAGATGGAAGTAAAAGACAAAGCAAATAGATTAATCTGTTCTACTGCGCTTAAGGCTTCACCTCATCATACATTTAGAGTAACAATTCTGTAACAGCTATTGAAGGAAAATGCATGACGTGACTTATCAAGGTATACCTGTACAGTCGGCGAAAAAATCTTAATCTACCAATTTTCCTGATCATAGATGAGGTTGCGATTCCAAGTATCAATGCTTCTAGAGCAAGTATGGGATCAAGAGAGCACTGAAATGTAATCAACCGGCGACAAAAAGTGAGTCAGGCCTTAATCGTCAAGCTAGATTGTAATTAACAAACATTACACGCTAATAGAAGATTCTCAAGATAAAGGAACAAACCTGAAGGATCATAACAGCAGCCAAAACTCGAATGGACCATGCAACAAAATGAGATGTGCTTACATCAACTGACCCATCTTCTGTGAGGACAAGTTTTCGGACAACCCAAAATCCCAACCAAGCCCCAGTAAGAACCAGAAAGGCTAGGAGAAAAATTGCCAACTGCAGTTCCAGATAAGTGAGCAAACTTTAGTGACAGGTCTATAAACAAGATGTATGTGCCTATTGCAATCATTTAAATGAGCATAAAACATGACAAGCTCCTCGTAGAATGCAGGTGAACAGTCAATGGAACTTTTGTTCCTAAGACTGAACCTCAGACTGGGCATTACTTCACGATAGATGGATTAATTTACCAAACTGACAGACAGTTTAATTTTCCCAAATATATTAACTTAGGATACGGTCCTAGACAGAAAATGCATAACAACCTACAATCTGGTTGCAAAACTATTAGGATCCAAACCCAACCTGCTATATAGACTGTATATATAAGACCCAGGTATAAAGCATGAGAAACAAAGATCAATTCAAAGTGGATACAAAATTTTTCAAATTATATTCTCCTTCAGCAGATAAGAAAAGGGAATTTGCATAAGGGAAATCGTTTTTCTTAAGGGAAAATATCAGCCTGGAAGGTGAAAAGATGAACATTAAAAGGTCTGACATTGTTTACAGCATTCCAGAATACTAGCTGACTATATTGGGTAATTAACATGCATGCTTCAGAATTGTATAAATCATTCCAAGCAATCAAGCGAATCTAATGCAAAACAGTCTAAGCTTCTCAGCTACAAGTCAATGATGATATTGTAAACTGGTATCCCATATTAAATTGCAGTTCATTAATGCTTTATACTAATTGATTGAAAAGATACATTCCAGTTAATTGATTCATTTATTTTTATGTAAATCGGTGTACCATGATTATTATATCAAAGTGTGGAGATGACATTAAATTAAATAATAAACATCATGAAATATTAACATTGACCAAGAATTGGAAGTTGAAGGTTTTGCTTCTTGCCACGAAAATGTTGCCCGATATAAGAAATACCCAAAAAACAAAAGGATTTTTGGAAACAAATTGGAATCATCTTTTTCCAACCTTAAGTACACCACTGGATTAATATAAATTATATAGAAAAAAATTCCGTGCAACTTATGGGTAGGATGCTAGAAGTTTAAAAAAAGTCAAAAGTTCATAATTCGGTAGTTGGAATCACGTTAAGTACACCACTGAACTAATATAAATTATATAGACAAAAATTCCGCGCAACTAATGGGTAGTTTAAAAAAGTCAACAGGTCATAATTCAGTAGTTGGAAAGAAAAAAAAATGAGTATCTGCTTGAAACAGACTGATGGCAATACAAATTTTGTTGAGAACTTACATACAGGATTGTACATGTCTTCGCTAATTCCCAACTCCGAGAGGATTGAACGAAAAAGTCCAGGCAAGTAACGGAGAAAGAAAGAGCCCAAACCGATCTGAACGAAGGAACATGATACTTAATGAGGTAGATTCTCTCTCAGTGAAAGATTAAACAATAATGCTCAACATTCGAACACTCACAAGAGATGAATATAAGAATATGGCAAGTGAATTTTTTCGCCCAGTCGGCAGCAGCCTCATTCCCTGTCAATAACCATTAACAAAGAAATAAGAACTAAAGAACCTCCTTATAGTCCCAAAAAAGGGCCTTGTCAAGAAACACATGGAAAAAGAACAGCCATTGGCTTTCAGGTTAAAAGTAGAAAGCACAATATTCACAAAGTAAGCAGACGTGGCATAGCTAGGTGGACAGAACATAAATGCTTGTGTGCACAACTGCACACAGACATACATAACCATGCATATGATGAACAAAGGAATCGCGGACATAGGGCATAGTTATAGAAAAAGACTTCCCTGTACTCATGAATTATAAAATGCTTGCATGTACATCAAGAAAAGTGCGCGGCCACAGAATATGCAGAAATGTGTGAGAATATTCGCTCTTCAAACTCAAACTTAGGCAATATAACAGAAGAAAGTCTCCTGACACAACCACACTGCATCTATCTATAAGAGAACTAAACATATGACAATAGAAAGAGTAGAGTAGAGTTGAATTCTATATAACCAGTTAATTATCCATCGATCAAATCTCTAGAATACTTAATTTAGAACAGAGACAAACAGATATCCAAGCCATAGAGATGTGATCATTGTCCAATCAAAGAAGCAACCAAGAATGATACTATGAAAAATCAACTAGAGAGAATCCATTTTACCTGAAAAAGAACCATCAATACTACAAGGATGATGCCAACTGCCATTGCACTGCTGTAGTAGAAAGCCAATGAATTGCTCAAAAAAGATGCTAAGGTCATTAAGATCACGCCCACGACCAAGAGAACTACCCGATACAGGAAAAATTCTGTGAAACATGTACAAACAATATTACTGCAAAGTGTCACAAGTTAAAAAGGAAAAAGTATGCAGGGTAACAATTCATTCATTAATTCAGGATACTTGAAAAAAATAATAATAACAAGCACCTTCTTCAATTGACATCTCGAAAGTTTCCAAGGATGAACCAGCTACTCGAATATCTAAGAGCTTATGATCAAATGGCGACATAGACCGAAACCATGAACCCTTGCCAACTTTTTCCCATTGGTTTTGAGGGCACATGCACATTCCAAGAGATAAATTCCTGCAAATTAGAGTAACAGTTAGGCTAACATTCTTCAATATCCTAAGCCTAAAAATAATATGGACCAGAATAACTAGATAGAACTTTCTCCTGTCTTAAGAACTTTCAAGCAAATCATAACTAATATCAGACAAACTAAACTGTGCACGCTCAAGAAAGGACATTCCGTCGTGCCTTCTAAAACATGAATTGCACCATCAATCTCCCCATAAAAAAATTATTTGATAGCAGAACGCAAGGATTTTCTTAAGTTAAGTATAGCTTCTATTTGATACTTGGAGTTAGCTTCACTGCCAAGAGGGATCCTCCCCTGAGATTGGTACAACTCTCCTCAAAACAAAACCCAAAATAACGTGCCTCGTTCCACTGAAAAACAGGTGCACAATGGCTCTGAGGGTTCAATTATCAATGTCTAACATCAGTAGATCATGTTATACAATGAAAGAGTAAAAAATTAGATACACACTCCAGAGGCACAATCAGCAAAGAATCACAAATACTCACCTGTGGAAACAAACCTCAAATTTGGTTGGATGAAGACTGCTACTTTTAGAGAAAACTTTCACTTTAACTGAATGGGCTATTTTACTCAAGTGATTCATCCTTGATAAACCATGGATATGAACTCTTTCACAATACATAGAAGTGCCCGGCCTAGAACCAGGAGAGTTTTCCACCGGCAATCCAGGTGATAGCTGCACTGAAGTAGACTGACCAATGACTGCAAAATTGATACTACAGTTATAAGTCTGAAGCATATGCATGCATATGAAAGAAATTGTTATGCTGCATCAAAATGTGTTGATTATGACCATAATCTGTTTCCACAGTTTTTCGCTCCTCTTTTTTGGGGATATATAAGCATAGAGGTTCAGTAATATTGACTCAAAAGCTACCTGAAACTAATTTCAGTGTCCATCACACATCCCTTTTATTGACTAAATAAGAATAATCAGGTGCCTCTATCTGGCAATTAGTATCTCTGATGCCAACAAAGAGAGGAATCAAGAAATCCTTCTTTTCTTGCCGTGCTGCAAAGATTATCTTTTTGGTTTTTGGCCAACTCGATTGATTTTTGAAGGTTGCTTTATTCAATCTCCAGGGATTGAAAATAAAGCTACCCATAAGTCAAGATAACTCAACACATGGCCATTTCTTATTTTCCTATTTATCTTCTTTCAGATTCTTGCTGGGTAAAGAAACGGAAAACTCTCTGCATAGTACAATTACCAGTCGAGCATTTCTTGGGGATTATGGGTGCACAATGATTCAACAAACTTTAGGCAACAAAAACCATAGCAAATTGCATAGCATAGAGTAGTCATTGATAGAAGACGACCCATCAAGATGGCACCTTAATTTGCACTTAGGAAGAGTAATCTTCAATAGATATGAGATTCATGGATATGATTAAATACGAAAAAACAAATATATATATTAACAACAGCAAGAAGAAAGAATCATTTTCCACTAAGTGGTTTGGCAAAATATAACAAAAGTGGAAAAACACTTAGCATCTAAAGGCCTTTTTATTATAATGCCACTACTCACAAGGGATAGCTGAATCAACTGATTGCAACTATAGACTATAAATTTTGGTAGGGGAATTCTTGAAACTACATGTTCGGTAAGGCATGGGCTCATTCAGTGAACATTATTCCCATTCCTCTCCCTTGTCTTTTCACCAAATTGCCATTGCGAAGACGGAACATAATCAAACACAAGCAACCAACACTCAGTCACCCATATCATTACCCACATACAAACTACAAAAGATTTCTCTTTCTTTCTCTCGCAGCTTCTTCCCTAGTTCCTCCTCCTGCTTTCTGCTCAAGTCTTTCTCTCCTCTCCTCTTACAAATCCCACAACTTCACAGTGTAACATAATGAAATTACTCATTCCACTTCTTGCCCCATTTCCCTTCCCTCCCCAATTTGTTGAACCATTCCCTTCCCAATGCATTCACCATTTCAACTCACGAAAACAGCAGTTGGTCTAGTTACGGACACCCCAAAACGAAAAAAGAAAACACGAACTCAAATCTAATCAGGACAAAAAGCTTCAAAATTTATTTAAAAAAAAAACAACAAACTGAACAGCTCAATCAACCAGTAGCTGCACGTCGAATCCTAAGAGAAGCTGATCAAACCCAGCAGCATACCGAATTCAGAGGAAGGCACAGAAACGAAGATAAAAGACTCGTACCCAAGGTGGGTCCTGCGGCGGAGGCGGAGGCGGAGACGCCATGGATTAGGACAAGGAAGCAAAGCCCGAGAGAGCAAATGAAGCTGCGAATTCGTGCGGAGGAGTCCATGGCCGCCGTGGTCGCGGCCGGGGAAGACGGGGGAGGGTAATTCCTGCCCAGTTTCCCAAAGCTTCAACCGTAAGAAATTCAAAAGGGCCATCTTTCTCCACAAAGAAGACAAGAACTGAACTGGATCAAGAATCGGCGGCGGGCCGATGAATCCTGAATTTTTCGCAAGCACTGGCCCACCAAGAAAGCCCACCGGAAGGATTCATGGTACACCTGCAAAGGGGGCGGCCCCACCACGCCTCTCGGTCCCGTCACCGTCCAGGCGGCGTTCTTCCTCAGCCCCCGGCCGGGTCGCCGGGGGGCAAAAGCCCGCGCCCCGTCACTGTTTCCACAGTAAAACATGCAATTATCTCAAAATCCGTACACTGATAGCACGTTTCGCCAATAGTGATTATTACGCTACATATGTAGTACGAGTTCGCCATCTGTTTCAGTGTTTGCTTCCAGTAATAGTTGGTAGCCGTAATCCCTATCATAGCCGAAGTTATGATTCCCGAATGTTTGCTTGCGGTAATAGTTAGTACGCCGTAATATCTATCATAGTGAAAGTTGTAATAGCTGTTACATGAACTCTATGTGCGATAGTTATTATAACCAAATTGCGATAGCTAGTCCTAAAATGCTCACGTCTCTTTTTTTTTCTCTCTTAACAATTATTATTATTATCATTTTTTGGCAATATAATAATTATTTTATTGAAATTAAGTACTCAAAATATGACTAACATTTACGTATAATCATAATCCTGATTAATAAATAGACAATTAGTATAGTGCCGGTACAAATTTTAATATCTTGATAATGTACTTTTTTAAGTATGATCCTCATAATAATATCTGCAACTTAGTAATAAGCATATTTTTTATTGTTTGATTGCATGTAATATGTGATTATCTAAATTTTCGTATTTACATATAAAATTATTCATGTTTTCTTGATTATTTTATGTATAATCAACAATGGCATCTCATTAATAATGAATCTATATTACAAATAACAATATTATCTCGTTGTAAAATAACATTTTACAAGCGTATATGAAATGGTTAATGGTTGTATAAATCGATATATGTTATATACATTCATTTAGATGATAAAACCGAAGTTGTTAGAGAAAAAGATTATTTTCCATATTTGAATTTAAAAAAATTAAAGAAACATCATAGTAATTAATATTCATGCAGATTTTTATAGTGGCGTTTATTAATGTATATTATGCTCATATTGGTTACTAAATCAGTATTCAATCTTGTCCCATGTAATTTGACTTTAGAGATAACTTAGGCACTTTGATGATATTTCTTCTTGTTGTTACATATGCTCTCCGTTGAACCAAATAATGTAATTAATGCGATAATGAGAGAGAGGATTTGAGAGAAAAATTGTGTGTGTCCTGACGACTGCACACGCTACAAAACCCAAGATTAAATAATGTTGCACAATCGGTACGCACATTTACTATGGCACTTTTTCCTATTCCTAACACTCATCCTCAAACTAGAGCATATATATCACGTGTTCAGAACGGCCGAGAATCTTAGTGAATGTTTTAGCTAACTGATCATTAGTCCTAACAGATGTAGTCTTGAATTCCTAAGATTGTCATTTTTCTTTTCGAGTGAAGTGACGACCATATAAAGCCTTTGCGAGTAGACTCACTGGAGTAGTTGCAGACGAGAGAAAAGAGAGAGGGGCTCGCGAGAAGAGAAGAGAATGTGTCTTGGGCTTCGTTTGTTTGACGGAAAATGCGACATTTTCTGGAAAATGTTTTCCTAAAAATGATTGTTTTATCAGCTTATAAAAATGAATGAACGAAGAAAATTTTCATTGTCCACGAAAATGTTTAAACATAAATTGTCATCGATAATGAAAATATTTTTCATTGACTAACTATTTTAAGCAATATAACTATTTATTTTTAGGAAAATAATTTCCAAATAATTCATTTTCCGCGAAACAAACGGAGCTTTTAGGTAGGTTTTTTTTCTTTTTAGAAGTTAGTAAACTATGTTTTGGGCCGGTCTAGGCCATTCGAGTTTCAATTAGGGGTGAGCGGTTCCAGGTTCCGGGTAGGTTCCGCCTGGAACCTGGAACCTACCCTCGGGTACAGGTTCCTCAAAAAGAGGAACCTGGAACCTACCGTCGAAACGTGGAACTTGGAACCTACCCTGTCATAGGTTCCAGGGTCGGTTCCAGGTTCCAACAGGTTCTTTTTTTAATTTCGTTTTGAATTAAACAAAACGAAAATAAACGCAAGAATCCTTCGTACCGCAGGCAGCACCTAAGACCATTCTTTCCAAAGTGTTATTTTATTAGAATTCAGTGGAAACAATGGAGGATATGACAAATAAGACACATTCCTATCATATAGCATGCCTAACAGAGCTCTACTTGCAACTCGCATGTAAGTGAACTGTCATTTGCAACACAAGCAAGAAATCTTGACACAGCAACTTCATAGCAAAAGTGACGAAGAACATTGTCAATTTCCACAAATTAAAGAAATTTGCGAGACAATCGGTAATTGCACAATGAGGCACTTAAGGTCAGCAATCTAAAAGCCTCCTCTCTCAGAAAAAAGGCTGAACCGCAGAGTGCCAAGAATACACCAACCTAGTGATTCAAACAAAACTTTCAACTGCATCCATGAGCCGCAAGGAAAGCCCCATAAGTGAGGCCAAAAATAAGGAAAGGAAAAATCACCAACAGAACAATGCTTGTAACCCCCAACCCCCCTACCAAAACTAAAAATCCCCACAATATGCTAGATGGCATAGACTAAAATGACATCAAACGAAAACAAAAACGAATCAAAAATACCATCGCTACATTACCTCATGGGAGCTGCAGCCCAAAAACGAAAAAGAAAACAAAGACAACATCGACCGAGCAACGCGAAATTGCTAAAAGAAATCCAAACAAGATCACGATCGCAAATGAGTCGGGGAATTCAATCAACATCAACAACAAGAGAAGGATAAAGGGACCCACTTCGATGCATAAATTGCCGCTGCAGATGATGTGCTAGATCTTGCCAGGGACGAGCATGGACTTGAACTTGGCGGGCAGATCAGGCGCCTTGTGCGGTATGTGCAGATCCCCCAATGCCAAAACCAACACCATCTTTCTTGTTCTCGCTACTCTCTATCGACCACAACGACAATGATAAGAAAAAGGGTCAACGAAAAAACAAGAAAAGGTAATATTTCCACACCCAAAGACGATCCTTTCTATTTCTCTTTCTCCCTCGATCGAGCTTCAACAATCAATCTCTCTTCTTCTTCTCCCCTTAACGCAGCACATGAAGTTCAGACTGTGCAAGTGCGTAACAGTGATGAAAACTAACAAGGGTTTTGCGAAGAGAGAGAGACGTTGACTCGGACATACCCTCGAACCGAAGCAGACATGGAAGACCCTCCTCCATCCCTCATTCTTGTCGTGCTCTGAAACTTCTCCCTTTCTCCTCAGGTTTACCATCTCGAACTCACCTCGTCTTCGTCCACGCGCCTCCAGCAATCAGGTTCTTCGCCATCCCACGCTCTGTCGTCGTCCCTCCCGGGCCTCGAACCACCACTCGCGCCACCTCTAGCCCTCGAACCCGCGCGATCCTTAGCAGAATCCTCGTCCCCGCTCTAGATGCTCGGCATCTCGACGTCCGAATCGTCATCGTCGTCGACCACCCTCCTATTCCCGTTGCTGCTGCCCTGTTCTTGTTGCCGCCGCCCTACCTGCCCGCCCACGTAGCCCGCCTCGGGCCGAGGGCAGCCGCTGGAGCTCCTACTTGGGTGTGGTTGATGAAGACAGAGGAAAAGCCGAGGCGACGCCAAACGGAGAGAGGAGAGGCAAGCTCGTGGAGTCGTGGGTGTGGGGAGTGCGAGAGAGAGCAGACTGGAGGAGGACTGAGCGAGGAGAAATAAGGGGAAGAAACAAGAAACTAACAAAAGTTAGGGTTTTTAGAGGGTAAAGTAAACCGGTTCCGGTTCCCGATTCCGGTTCCCCGGTTCCGGTTCCTAGGAATCGGAACCGGGAACCGGAATCGGAACCGGCGGTTCCTAAAAATTTGGAACCGGGAACCGGAACCTATCACCTTGGAACCGGGAATCGAACTGGATCCGCCGGATCCGGTTCTCGGTTCTACCCTAGAACCGTGCTCACCCCTAGTTTCAATTACTTGAATCCCAAAAGATGGGTCCAGCCCAAAGTAAAATGTGTGCCTAAAATGATTGTTTATCGCTTACAAAAATGAATGAATGAAGAAAATTTTCATCGTCCACGAACATGTTTAGACATAAATTGTCACCGATAATGAAAATATTTTTCATTGACTAACTATTTCAAGCAATACAAATATTTATTTTCAGAAATATGTTTTCTAAATCATTCATTTTCCACGAAACAAGCGTAATCTTAAAATAGGGTTTTTCCTTTTTAGAAGTAAGTAAAACTATGTTTTGGGCCTGTTTGGGCCATTCAAGTTTCAATTATCTCAACCCCAAAAGATGTGCCCGGCCCAAAACAAAAATTGATTAGTGGCCTGGTGGGGCGGCCTAGACTACCGGAGCTCAAAAGATTATGGTTGATTTGGGCGAGCTGGTCTAGGCTTTCGGCCTACCGGGCATTTTTGCTCATCCCTACACGATAAAGAGCTCAAATGGTTGCAGAACGACCTAACTCAATATAGTCCGATCTATATCCCACTTATATTTTGCTTATTTTCACTATCAACTTCAGATCTACCACATTGGATAAAACCCCACACAACGTCTCTTAACCTGCTTGCCCTATTGCATGAGCCTTGACACTAGCGTTGATGCCATACCTCAGGCCGCAGCCGCTATTGATTACCTTCCCTCCGGTCATCACCACCATGGATGCAGTAACCGCTATTGATCACCTTCCCTCCGGTCATCACCACCATGGATGCAGTAACCGCTATTGATCACCACCATGGATGCACCGATCCATGGACGAGGTTAGATATGATCTCTTCTCCTCCTCAAGGGAAAAAATGACAATTTTGCATATTGACTCTAGTAGTTGTTTGGTATAGTTGTGGCGGTGTTGCATTGTGACCGTGTTTTGAGAAGTTGTGATTTATGTATTTGGTACATGTTTGAATGCTCTAGGACCTAAATAACTAGTGATACAACTTCTTAAAAGATGCTATAAGCTGTTGTAATTTCGAGGGTGTTGAAACCGGGAGGAGTTTACCAAACACTTTGTAAAAACTGTAGCACACCCATTTTTCATAACTGCAACTGCTAAAAGAAAATTGTACTAAACAGACCTCAGTATTGCCAGTACTTGCAATATCACCGTACTAAACTTTCAACATACAGATTAATTCACAATATTGATATATTAAATTATCGGATTAATATTACATGTTGAATATGGTCCGTCAATCGTGATGATCACCTATAATGTGCCATGTACACTGATTTACTGTGTTTAAGACTAACACTAATAGGTAAACGCTTCAAAGAGTCCATAACGAACGATATTACGATTGCCACTGGGCACATGTTCTGCCAACTTTTTATCTGCTGCTGATTTACAGACCTAGACAAGAATCCCACCACTACAAAAAAACATGAATTTTGCCACGAAAATTTACGACGGGAAATTTTTCGTCGCTAATTTGCGATGGATTTTTTTTTCCGTCGCAAATTAGCGACGAAAATTATTTGTCGCTAATTTGCGACGGAATTTGCCACGAAATAAAAATTCGTCGCAAATTAGCGACGGAAAATAAATCCGTCGCAAATTAGTGACGAATAATTTGCGACGAATTTTGCGACGAATAATTAGCAACGAATTTTGCGACGAATAATTAGCGACGAATTTTGCAACGAATAATTAGCGACGAATAATTAGCGACAAATAATTAGCGACGAATTTTGAGACGAATAATTTGCGACGAATATATTTCGTCGCAAATTAGTGACGAAAATTGATATTTTTCGTCGCTAAATTTTGCGACGCCGAATTAGCGACGGAATTTTTTTCGTCGCAAAATTCGTCGCTAAAACCTCATTTTTTTGTAGTGGAATTTTGCGACGAATTTTGCGACTAAATTTGCGACGAAATTTGCGACTAATTTTGCGAAGAAATTTGCGACGAATTTTGCGACGAAATTTCCGACGAATTTTGCGACGAATAAAGTTCGTGGCTAATTTGCGACAAATTTTGCAACGGATAGTGTTCGTGGCTAATTTACGACGAATTTTGCGACGAATTTTTTTGCGACGGAAATTGAAATTTTCCATCGCAAAATTTTGCGACGCCCTATTAGCGACGGAATTTTTTCCGTCGCTAATTCCGTCGCAAATTCGATTTGCGACGGATTTTGCTAAATTTTTCGTCGCAAAATTCGTCGCTAATCCCTTGTTTTTTTGTAGTGCACTATTACTTAGCTTAAACTTTTCAAATTTACCTTCAAACGTTCACATGTATATGAAAGGCTTTCCTTATTAATCACACATTTGAATTATGTCATCAAAAGCAGTTCTAGTGTCTTTCGTTAGATCCGGATCATGGTAACACGAGATCAACAGATTGATTGATTGACGAGATGTAGAAATTTATAGCGATTGTTGATTTCGCAGTCAGCAACTATAGATTAATTAGAAATTGCAACTGGAGCAGTCATCAACCATCATTATCATCCCCACGCTTCTAAAGAGACAAGTAAGCGACGCATCCTAATCTAATGCATCTACATAAAGCCAAACATTGCCAATCAAGTGTCACTCCTAAAACGCACTAGAACACAAGGGAGACACCAGTTTGATTAGCGGGGACAGTGCTAGTTACGACATCGGAGACGGTGAAAAGTGAACAAAAGTATGGACAACTTTTGGTGGCACTTTGTATTTATTCGACCGAGAGAGGGAGAGTATTGTTCAAGATCCAATCTCTGAAATGCTTTGTAAGGCTGGCTTCCACTGCCTACCACCACCCATCACCCCTCTCAAGCTATCACCGCCGGGACCGCCGCCGCCGCAGCTGCTGCTGCTTCCCATTTCATCAACCTCCTGCTCCTCCTGCAAATTAAAAATCTTAACAAAGAAAGACAGAGAAAAATTGAAGGCTTGATTGAGCTATGTCGTGCGGGGTAAAATTAGGATAAATTGCTCAAACATCCTTGTTTTTTGCGTGTGTTTCTAATCTAGCGACTTGTGTACTTTTAGTGTGGTGGAAACAGCCAAGTGCGTTTGCAATTTCCTCAAGAACCCATCTTGATCAGTTCTAAGTGAAAATTGTAAAAGTAGGAGGGTTACTTTTAACAAATATAAAAGTATAATATGTCACTAGATAAAAAGGCCAAAGTACAAAGAGTGTTTGTACAACTTTATTTAAAAGAAGAGATAAGGAAACAAATTGAATGATCTCATGTGAGGACAAGATCATGCAAATAGAAAAACCATGATCATGTCAAGTTAATTTTATATTTCTGGTGTTCTCCATGAAATTGGTAACAGACATAAATTGTAAATCATGTTGATTTAAAGTAATATGCGAAATCATTCATGCTAATATTCTAATGGCTTAAAGTGTCGAGAGAGCCGTGCGGAATATATATCATATCTTGACACTCTCCCTCACTCAAAAAGTCGATTTTGGTGAAGACTATAAGCGCGCCAATCGGATGCCTGTGGGTGAGAGAGATATTGTTACCTGAAGTGTGAGGTATTGAAATTGAGACCTCTGTCATTGACACCAATATAAAACTCTGTGAAAACGTTTAGTCTAACTATCGTGTTAAAGCGGCTTGAAATATATTTTAGTTCTTAACAAGCTAGCTCACATCCACTATTATGCATGTGGTGGAAGATGAATCGATCCACAAATTTAATATTCCAAGCATTTTGTATGTTCTTAGGATCCAATCATGTGGGTTCATGTCACATGTGCAAGGAAATGAAATAGGGTCAATATGGCCGAAAGAAAGATGGGGTTAGGTTAACTTTATGGAACATCAAATGAAAATGAATGTCTAGGAAAACTAACCGGACCCACAAAAATAAAAGAAAACGACTAAACGAAGTATGGCATACTAATTGAATTCCTAATTAATCAAACGATTACTGAGGACGCACGTGAAGTTAGACATTTTGGTTCTGAGAAAAGAGCAATATAGTCAATGTTATTCACCTTAGTCTGTTGTCTCTTCCTCTCCTGATAAAAGTTTAATGCATTGCATGACCATGAAGGTGAATTTCTTCTGTCCCTAAGTGTGTTTACGGGCCCGATCAAGCATTCAATTTGGATCGTGGGATAAAAAAGGGAAAAGGGTGATCCGTTAGATCTACTTTGCAAAATTATAATCCGTTATAACTTATGGATGTTAAAGAAAAATTACGGATGCAAAAGCGATCATACATTCATTTGATTAAGAAGAGTTTTAAGGAGTAGGGAAACTTACCGACACACGTAAGTTGCAAAACCTCAATAAGTGTCGAGGAAAGTGAGTATTTCACTAACAATGGAACACAACAAATTTGCTAATAACTTAGGCAGATTACTATTTGATCCAGAGAACTTACAACCTTCCAAGGGATATTACGCCCTCTAAAGAAAAGTCAGAAAGAATATTTTACAGATAAGTTACTATTAGCGACGGCAATTACGTACCCTAAGGGAAGTCGCGATTCATTAGGGAATTTAGTAACGACACGAAAAGAAATCTGCTATTAACTTAGGTAGAGATTACTAATGTTTTGAGGAATATTACAAATCATAGGACTCAAAAAGCTCACGAGGATAATAGGAAGCTTCACCATGTAAAGACAAGTTACGAAATGATATGTAACGGGTAAATTATTATTAAAGAAAGAAATTACGGATGTCAAAGGAAAGTTAGGATTTATTTGGCGGGATCCGACCATTAGGAATAGAAAGGATCCAAAGCTTCTATTCCCTGATTTCGGGTATCCAATGTGGAGGGAAATCCCTTATTTCGACTCTTTGTTTACGCTACAAACATTAAACAAGGATTTGCATAATCATCACGTTTCCACGTCATCATTAATGCGTAACCCACTAATTCCATTAAGTAGTTCATGAATGAATATAATAATACTTAATGATTAATCTTTTCCGTGAAGTGCGTAGTAATATAATCGATGTTTTTAAAAACGCTAAAAGCCACAGAAAACTACAAACTATGTTTACTGTTACACATTTACTCTTAACTTTTTTTTTTGTGACTCAAAAAATCCCAAATTTATATCGGTGTGACACATTTACCCTTCGTCAATGAGCACCGTTGGATCCAGAAAGTAAACGGTGTTGACATGATACTCACGTGATATAAACGACATTATTTTGACTTGAAAATCATCCGACAGAACCTTAACATGGGGTAAAAGTATCATATAGTTTGGAGTTTTTTATGTCACAAGAAAAGTATGGGGTAAATGTGTTACCCTGGCATATTTTGGGGTTTGTGTAAAAGTGTCACATAGGACATAGTTTAAGGTTTTTGGTGGTTCTTTCCCATCTAAAAATTGATATTTTTTTTTTGTAAAATGAGTTTAACAAGTCATTTTGGTGGGCAAGATTGACAACAAAAATGTTCATAGAATTTTACCAAATGGAAGTATATGCTTTGGTGCTAAGCTCGAGAAAATACCTTCGTGGACACGCAGTTGTCAGCAGACGCCGAGTCCCGCTTTGAACTCGGCCCCCGACTCGTCGTCGACTCTTTCTCCTTCGACTCGACTCCGACCCCTCCTGATCTTTCCAGCAGCTTCCCCAGTTTCACGCACTTCTTCGCCGCAAACTCCTTCAACACATCTTCCACCAAACCCAGCAAGAAGAAGAACAAACCGAACTCTTCAGAAACCGAAAAGTAAGAAAACATAGAGCCCGGAGAATCCGTGGCTACGCGTGAAAACTCTGGACATACCTTCGAAGCTAATGAGCCGATAGACCTGCCCGATGTGCAGAGTGTCGTCGGGCCGCAGGAGCCTGAGCTGCCTTGACGGGGAGCCGCTCTCCCCCTTTGCTGCCGCCGCCGCCTGAGGAGAGGCGGCTATCAGGTGCGCGACATAGTGCCCCGGGTTCGCTGACATGATCTCGTGGGCGCTCACGGACCAGTGTATCCTCTCCACCTTGGTCCCGGTCGGGTGGTGGATCGCCACCGCCGCCGTCTCCGCCGCTTGGCAGTTCCCCATTCGAATCCACCCGTTTCCTTTCTTTCTTTGTCAAAAAAGAGAAAAGAGAATATGTCGAAAGGATATTTGCGAAATTCAAGGGGTAGCTTCCTAACTTTTTGGTTTGAGAAGTGTTCGTGGCATTTGTTGGCTCAGACGCTGCCCACTGAACGGCGTGGGATCGGGAGGGTTCTTTCTTTCTCTGACGACGACAAAAAGGTTCGAGAGAACGGGACAAAGAGAGGTTTTTGGCTGGAAAAAAGAGGCGTTGGGCGAGGAAAACTGGAAATAGGGAAAGCGAAACTAGAACGAATAAGGAGAGAGAGCGAGAGATGGTGATGGGTATACGAGGAGGAAATCAAATCCGGGAGGAACCAAAAAAAAAGGATGATGATGGTGAGAAGGTGGGAGTGGTGTGATGGTGAGAGAGTTTGGTGTCTTGTTCTTATATCAGCTTCTGCTGCTGGTAAGAGAAAGAAGCATGAAATGGGGAGAGAGACAGAGAGAGATGTGTGTGTGTTGGAGACGTGTTAGATCTGCAAAACCCACCTGCGATTTTGAGAGAGAGAGAGATGGCGTCTTCATCCGACCGAAAAAGGAGAAGTCGGGGTGCATAAGTAAAACCAAAACTTCGAGCCAAGATAAAAAATCAGACGACGGGAGATGGGGATGGTCCCAGTTTTGACAGCGTGAGTACTGAGTAGTAGTGTGGTCAGAGAGAGTTGGGTGTATGATCACTAGGGTGTTTTTTGGATCCTGACCAAGGAGGATTAATGTGGAATGTGACCGAAAACGAGACGACAAATGTCAAAACCAATGGCCTTTTTTATTAGGTCTAGTCCAAAAGTTATTCACACCGGGCATCATCCATGCCGCTGATCGTGGTGGCTAAGTGGTAAGGACTCGCGACACTTTCCAAGGATTCGTCAGTCTTGAATTCGTTTACAATAATAGTTTGCCTGGACCCCTAATCTTGTTAGAAGGTGCACGCATGAGGATTTTAGGCAATTAATGTCCTACGTCGACGATGCGGTGTAACGTGGAACCGTTGATAGAACCAAATTGGCCCATAACTTATTAACTTTAAGGGTTTTAAAGAATGTGGGTACAAAGTTTATTCACACTAGCACTGTATCATTCATGCTGCTGATCGTGGTGGCTAAGTGGTAAGGACTTCCAACACTTTCGAAGGAGTCAGTCTGTTTCAAATTCGTTTACAATAATAGTATGCCTATGTTAATCTTGTTAAGGTGCACATGTGAGAATGTTGGGCGATTGATGTCTCGCGTCTAGGATTTGGTGTAACATGGAGCAGTTGATATTGTTCGGATTGGCCTGTAACTCATCGGCTTTAAGGTTTTTAGTGAATGTGGATACAACTAGATATGTTGATATATCAAACTCAAACGACCTTCGAGTGGTAATTTCAGGTGAATGCATCAAGTTTTTACTACGTCGATTCGGAAAATCTCTTGTTACGAGAAAGGCCATAGCACTTGCACATCAGTGGGGAAGGCGATAATGGTGTCCCCTCTCCGGAGGTTTTCCATTATCGTCTACATATTGAATATTTATGTCTCAAACCCGCTTAACCCATGTAACAACTAGGATGTTGCTACCCTATTGCTTCTACCTATCCATTTGCCTAAGTTGTGACATATCCAAAGAGCCATATACTATATGATAAATTGTTTTATGCATCTCATGCAATCCAGCTATACTTGACGAAAATGCACAATGACGGACTCATTTATGGATGTGGATCCTTTATTCCCTAGGCACGCACGAGAGAGTGGTGATGAACATGAAGATTTGCGGGGCTCGGGACAATGCTTGTGGTGGCGACTTGACTCGGAGGTGATGGCGTCGACTTTGCTGGTGGCGGCGACGGTGCATGACGCGACAATTGTCGAACGCAATGGCTAAAGAGTACAAGAAGAGAGGGACCGAAGGATTAACGAGTTCGGTGAAGATTTAACCAAGTGCGGTGAGAATCAGGGATGGGCTCGGTATAGTTCGATGCGGTTTGAAGGCCAAACTAAATGAAACAGTACTAGTACAGTCGGACAAAAACTCTTATTTTACTTGCTGGAACCGGACCAAACTACATGCTGGTTTCAAACCGAATCAAATCTTGAATCAAGAGATTCGCATTTTACTAAAACTTTTCCAATATCGCCATAAGAGAAATACATGTCAATCTTAGCATCTCGATCCAAATTGGACAACGAAAGTCAAAATTGAACAACAAAGTATGATGTTCTTCATGATGTTACCTTAAACATTAAGAAAAAAACGATTGCTAAATTGATAATCCCAACATACACATCATATATGTAAAATACAGTTTTGAGGTTTGGTTTGATTCTAAATTTTTTGAGACCAAACCAAACAACGACCCGGGTGCAAATTATGAACCTTTTTTGGAAAATCACCTCTCGTAAATGAACAATTTGGTTCGGTTTGATTAAAACCAGATTATGCTTACCCCTAGTAAGAATCATAGAATAATGGACACGTGTCAAGATCTTGTAATCGAGACGGCAAATGAAAACATAGTGAGCGACGGTAGATCGCATCGCTTTATTAGTACTAATAATGCTTAAACTCCAATGGATGTAGTCGGCTGGTATGCCGTTGTCCTTGTGATTAGTAGGTTTTAACCGAACCCATTATTGCGTGAAAATATATAGCATCATGTATGAGCATAAGGACTTTAACATGGTGCTGTGATAATGGATTTTCCACTGGCACAAGTTGGCATCGGATAAAGTAACATCACGCCTGCTAAGCTTTTGTTTTGGAAAATTTCGTTTTCCAAGTCTGGCGAGTAATCTATTTGAGCTTTCAAGAATGTGAAATTCGTACCTAAGTGATTGATTTAATGGAGGAAAAAAATGCATTGAAAGTTCTAAACTTCGTGTTAATCGAGTCCTGACTTTTGATTAGCGCATCAAATCCCAAATCTTCCAATGAAAACAACCAAGTCCGTTCGGTGAATTGTATCCAAATATTGCTTCGGAGACACTTGAAAATTTAGCTTTTTCTAGACATCCTTAAATTGTACTTTTCAATGTAAGTTTAGGACTTGAACGTGCACATTTTAGGAAATGTTTAAAACTTGATTGCACCAAACAAAAGTATTAAAACTCAGATTCTATTTTTTTATTAAAGGTTCAAGACTTTATTGTATCAATAAAAAGTTTAAGACATAATAATGTTTCGTCAATATAATTTAGGAAATATGATTTGATTTTCCCTTTGATTCAACACCTTGACCAATCATATCTCTATAATTAGGCGCCTCCATTTGTGTGATGCTCGTTTTACGATCCATACTTACCGAACTATGCTCTGGTGGGAAAAAAAAAATTTAATCAAATCTTACATTTTGAAATCCTAGAAAGAGATTAGCGTATGTTTTGATTTCTAACACAACCACATAGATTAAACTTGGGTTGTTTACAAGTTTCACAACTCTTTTTTTTCTTAGCTTAATTTTTTTTTTCGAGATGACATATTCGAGCATTAGGTTCTATACTTTATGAATGCACACAAAGCGCCTCATCTACGTTGAATTTGAACATGACTATCCGATTTGGCTCACTCCCACCGGCGATCCAAGAGGGTAGGGATGTTAACAAAAAGAGCACAACGTAAATTTCACGCATTTATTACATTTCAATTGGTTAATAACTTATTGTAAGCAAGATAGTGGTCATAGCACTAATGGAATGTCATGATTGATGATGGTTCACCGAAGATACCTTAGTGTCTTGGTGATTAGAATCGATTGTATCGATTATATAAACGTGGGAGAACGTAATTTTGAAGGCAAGCTACTTTGGTGTGGTTGTGCGCAGCTAGTCATGTTCGAGAAATCGAACCTATGTGTAACTCGATTGAATTGTATATATCCAACTCCTATTTAAGTTGTGACTACAGTCTTGTTCGATTGTGAAGTTAGCAAGGTGCATAGAGATAGCACGGTCATTACTTTAGTAGGTCATCCGACCCCACTCAAACCTTTAATTCATCAATTATGTATGTATGGATTTTTCTTTGTCACTAGACTAAAAAAAAATGTCACAGGATATATTTATTTTGCTAAAAATGAATGATTTAGAAAATATTTTTCCGAGAATGATTACTTATATCACTTATAATAATAAATGAACGAAAACATTTTTTATCGTCCATGAAAATATTTAGACATAAATAGTTGTTAATAATGAATTTTTTTTATCAACTAATTATTTCAAGCGATCAAGCGATCATTTTCTCTAAATTATTCCCTTTCCGCAACATAAGTGGAGTTACAAACAAAATCCGTTGATAAAAAAAAACATAAATGGATTTTTCATTCATTATTAAGAGGTATATGATACACGTGAAATACAGCCCACAACCACAAAACAAAGTCAAATTTTGATTTATTAGAGTAAATGCGTAAAACCAAAAAGCTTGTCTGAAATTAACTCAAACGTCATAAGGGGCGACGAGTCAATCGTCAAAATCTGGATTAGCTCGATATATTAAAAATTGCTCACTCTAGGATGTGTTTGTTTCACGGAAAATGAATGATTTGAAAAACATTTTCCTAGACATGATCACTTGTATTATTTATAAAAATGAATGGTCGAAAAAAATATTCGTCGTCCACAAAAATATTTAAATATAAATTTCTATCGATCATGAAAATATATTTTTTCGACTAATTATTTCAAGCGATATAAATGATCATTTTTAATAAATCGTTTTCCAAATTGTTCATTTTCTTCAAAACAAATGGAGCCAGAGCCACGATCTCAACTCCTAAGCCGTGGTCTCAACTCCAAAAATTGTTCCTGCATTCAAATTAAGAATCTTAGGAACCAATATATCTTTAGTAGGGTTTTGACCCGCTAGAATTTTAAAAAGTTGTCCGTTTGTTTTGCAGAAAATGAGTTATTTGAAAAATAATTTCTGAAAAACGATTGCTTGTATTGTTTATAAAAATGAACAATAAAATTATTTTGACAAAAAATATTTAAATATAAATTATTATCAATAATGAAGTTTTTTTAATTAACTGATTATTTTTAGTGATACAAGTAATCATTTTAGGAAAATATTTTTCAAATTACTCATATTCCGCGAAATAAATGGAGCCTAAGAGAGCCCAAAACTTAAAAAATTCACATTTGAACTCTTACCAAGCGTTTGAAGGGTGCGTCTGGTTCAACTTTCTCAAAGGATTTTAGGCCTTCAAAACCACTAGGGGAAAATTTTGAGTATTTGGCAAAGTTTTTTTGGGACCTTTCTGGCCAAATGTGATGTAGAACAGTTAGCCTGTAATTATCTTGAAGAATGTGATCGCCGTAATCGCCGGAAATCATCGTCTTCGTCTTCCGTATCCTCGACATAGTCTTGACGCCTATGTCGGGGAATTCCTCCACGCCCCATAGCATCTTCGGGATCACGAAAGTCAGCAATTCGCTCAGCTGGAAGAACGCCATGCGCATGGTTTGTGGACAAACGCTGGATGGCATCAAGGATCTCTTGAAACCTCCGATCGGTTTGATCCACGAATTGAT